AACCGAGAAGGTTCAGCAGGCGAAAGCCACCTTCTCACGAAAGGTAACTACAGCCACATGGAGGAAAAAGATGGGAAAGGAAAACGCTACCAATACAGGAAGGGAGGGAGGGGAAAGCAGAGAACAGCCTAGCTTGAATACTAGCTCACAACTGGGACAGGATCAGAAAACAATAGGATTTTACTAACTGGTGATTGAAGGAGTTGGGAGGGGTGTGACACGCTGAAATCACATGAGAGCATGGTGGAAAATCACTGGGAGCTTTGTCGTATGATTGCCCATATGGTAAAACGATTGCGTTACATTGGATATTAACCTAAGGCTATTGCACAATGGCTAATAGGGGGAAGATAACAGAATTGTGACAACCTTAGATGAGAGCTATGATGTAGACTACAGAGCTCATTGACCACAGTTTAAATGATTAAACTTCTAGCATAAGTAAAACGAGTCATATTCCACTTGTCAATACCAACTATACTTTATTGCTTGATGTATTTTAATAGCTTGAGAGTAAAGAACAATCACGCAATAAAGGGCTAGATAATATTAGATAATAAAATCAGTGCTACTCTTTGGTGTGTTTGGTGTAGTATAGATCCGAAAGCATACCCATCTTAACTCCCCAACACGCCCCAAATCACCGTTCCTCAGAAGAGACTCACCGACCCCTCCATCGCAGAATTATCTGCCTTCCCTCTATTCCCCCACCCCACCTAACTCCACCTAGCCCTGCTGATATGTTGATGTGCTGATACCTTTACCTTGTCATACTGTAAGGTTCATGTTGCGTGTTTGTTATACTCCAGGGCCCAGTTGTTTGGGGGTCCTGTGCCCAGCCTAGGCTAGATAACGCTATCCACCAGATAAAACGCTATTTAGTGGGTAAGTGTTAACAAAACAAACCACGCTATCCACTGGATAGCGTTATCCACTTTTCGAACAACCCAGGCGTTGAGAACGACGCAATAAATCCGCGGTTAAACTCAACGTTTGACTTTATTTTACTAGGAAAAACCTCAATGGCGAATACTCGACTTGCACTATCAAAAACCCGCGTGGAACTATGTAAAAGTACTTGACATTTGATCCCTTTCACTCATTTCTAAATAAGGTACATGTAACACAACGAACATTTCACCTCCCCGCACTGAAGGGACTACAGTGTGTAAAACACGATAACACATAACAGTTTTAAAA